CCATGTAATGTCCATGATGTAAAATATTTTCATTCGGTAATTTATAAAAACAACCCAGTCGTTGAGTGCAATTATTGTCCAGCGTATTGTCCACGATGTGATCTATGTAGTTAATACCGGTACAATACTGTATACCGGTAGTTGTACCAATCACACCAGCCTTTCATTTGCTTTTCAAACCCAAACTCGCCCCCCTTCGAGCATTGCCGCCGCCGCCGCTCCGTTACCTGCACGCCGCAGCCTACGTCACGAGATCAACCGTTGCTGCAATCGCCGGCCATGTCGCTCAGTCTACCCGCTTCCGCGACGTCTGAGGTGCGTTATCTTGCTGTTTGTGGTCTCTGTGAACGTGTTTCTAACCGTGCGTTATCTATTTGTAAATACAGGGTGGATCGTCCGACTCCTCTTCAGATATCGACACCACGGCTTCCGCAGCCTCCGGCGCGGCTGCAAACTCGGACGACGCCTCGCCTGACACGGACGATTTCAAGCGTCCATGTATTGTCCAGGTCGTAGACTCTCCCTCCCTTGTGGAGGGCCCCGCAGACGTGACGTATCCGAGCTGGTCGGCGTGGAATGAGTATTTGAAGGCTTACTCGGTAAAGTCCCGCCAGGTCATCCGCATCCAGTCAACGCTTAGTTGTGTATTGAGAAACAAGCGGCTGGGTCAAACAGCGGCAGCAAAGCAGGGAATGGATGTTCCGTACGTACCAGAGACGTGGGGTGCTTACCAACGCACATACATCTGCACACATGGCTGGCCAGCAAAAGACAGGAGCAGCGGATTGCGAACCAAGCACTTCGTCCGAGGATGCGGTTGTCCATTTCGATTTGTGGTGCAGCTCGTGCAAGTTGACGGCTTATGCTGCCTTCGCGTGAAGAACGGTGTGTACCAGCACAACCATGCGGTGGGGACAGTGTGGTGTAGCGGGATCAGCAAAATCTGCGAGATTGCCAGATCCAACTTACCAACTGCGCCCAGACACCGACTAACGGAGGGGGTCCCCGATGATCCGTGTTCTGCTGAACTTTCCTCACCTTGTGTACCCGTCGGTAGGGCGGGATCTTGCTCTCTCGGTAACTTCCGAAGAGTTCAAGTGGTGAAGCTTGAGTGTCTTGGCGAGACGTGGGGATGGGGTGGAGCAGCAGTGGAAAATCTTCACTCTGCGTCCGTGGATGGTTCCGTATCCTAAGCGAATATTCGAGCTTATGGATCCGGGGCCTAGATCGTGGATCTGGCCGTAGGGTTGCCTTGCGGGTGTGTTCCCTTGCCTTTGTGTTGTCCTTTAAGTCGTACTTGCCGCCTCCTGTGACGGGATCTTGAGAGTTGAGATCTTCTAGGGCGTAACCGACCAAGTAGTAAATTCGGCTAGCCCGTCGGATCTGCACAAGTAAAGGAAAAGCTCACTAGGTTGTAGGATCTGGCCAATGTATTATCCAGTTATCACTACCAACACTAGATTCGCAATTCCCAACCTTCTCCGAGCTCGTACGGCCAATGTAGTTCCGGTTCTTGAGGGCAGGAAGGCACTTGCGTGTTACTGTGCAAATTGAAGTCTGTGTTGATATTTAAGCCTATACCTGCCTGGGTTTCTACCTTCTATGTCTTTCATCTGCTAAATCCCTTACCAGGCTCGGCTGCATGTCCCTTCTTCCCTTGACCCATCATCCCAGCTGTGTTATCTTCAGATCCACCGGATATATGACGTAATCATCATGGTCACCCTATTATGGGTACACTCATCCGGATCCAGGTCGCTTGGATCCACCTCACTGTAATGGTACACTCGCCGTGGATCCGAGCTCTCCAATCATCCAACATCATCTCGCAACCGTCCGTGATCTCCATTGTCCCACGAAAGTTCGAGATCCACTGTATCCATCATCCCTATACCCTGGATCCAGGTCCCTCCAGGCGGGATCCTCCCTCCTTGGATCCGAACTCGGAAGTATGGGATCCGGGGTACCTCGCGGTGGATCTTGACTCTTCATTAGCCGTGGCTACTAGATCCACCTTCAGAGGGCACCGACCATCCTTCCTTCATAGGATCCACACTCGATCCACTCTTGTATAGTATATCCCATATCCATCTTAGTGAATCCAGGTAAGGGTGGATCCGAGGTAAGTCTTGGTGGATCTTGCCTTCTCGTACGTCGCTCATATCAGATCCATCGTCATTCCATACGGGGTGCTGCTCGCCATGGCTAATCCACCACAGGCAACTTGCACCCGTGCCAAACAACCCAAATCCTCTATAATCACTTGAAATTGTCACTGATTCGGGATAGTGACCCCGCGTCAGGACCATTCTCTTATTTCTGAAAAAGCACTTCACCACAGGGGAGAAGACCCAAGCCTTGAACCAGCTAAGCAACAGCTCAACGTTGATTACAGTCGAATATCGGCTTATAATATGAAGATGATTCAGCTTCTTTTGGGTGAGATAGATAGATTAAAAGATCGTTTGGCTAATATAGAGTCATGAGGATTGAGCGCTTGGAGTTAAGCCCTTTGAAGAACAAGAAGTATCGAGTATGGGTACGTCTTAATACGGGAAAGTTGCGCAAGGTTAATTTCGGGACTCGTGGATACGCCCAATATCGGGATCAAACGCCTCTGAAGGCTTTTAGTCATCTTGATCATAATGATGAGGAGAGACGTCATTGATACTACCTTAGACACAAAGTTGATTACCCAGAACCATCAGCGGATTTCTATGCTAAGAAGTTTCTTTGGTAATAATATACAAGAAATGGGTTGCGTACCAAGCAAAGATCTTAAATCGAATTTAACTGCTGATGAACCTACTCAGGCAATTGCTTCCACATTCATGCGCGCTGATCAGATCGTAGCTCTCGGAGATAGTGCACTCGTTCCTATCAGAGATGCGAAGACGGGGGAAGATGCTATCATGGAAATACATGTTGGAGAGAAAAAAATTAGTATATATCGCGGAATGGCGAATAAAGCTGTTAGATCTGGTATTGCTTAGATAGCAAACGTCTTTACAGACTTCGATTTTTTTTAGTTGAGTATGCCCATACTTTTCCTCCTTCCGTCTGGGTTGA